GGTGGAGGCGCCCCTCCTGCTGAGGCTCCATCAGCCCCGCTTTGGGGAGGCTCAGCCGCAGTCCAGGAGGAAACGGATGAACCTTGGGAGGTGGCAAAATGCTGGAGCTCCTGGAAGCCAGGGATCACCCATTTCTGAGAGGGATGCAGAGGCGGCTTATCTGGGGTCTTACCCTGGTGTCCTCCCAAGACAGGGTCCCATCCTGCCTGGGGCGGGGGGTGAAGCAGATGAAGCTGGCCCAGACTGGCACTCCAGGGCTGCATCCGCTCCCAGCCCCTGGAAGCTCTGCTTGGCCCGTTAGGAGGGAATGACTAGCTCCTCCGGTGACCTGAGCGATTCTGAATCGGCCGAGGGGCCTGAACACAATGGTTTGACCGTGCAGCTCTTATTCCCAGCGCGGACTCGTGGCTGTGCTGCATCTATTTTTGTGGATCCCCAAGGAATGTTCCTCCAGCCATTTCTAGCAAATTAGTCACGGTGACAGCCGAGGAGTGCTGGGAACGGTGCACTTAGCAGAAACACTCAGCTGTTCAGACTTGTCCAACTGTGGAACGTGACTATTGCCCATTCACAGATTGCATTTTCCTAGTAAACTGTTACCTTTTCTGCCTACGGCAAAGCGTAGTACTTGGAAATCCTTGGCTGAGGAGATGAATAGGCAGGGACGTGATTGGCAAATAGGCTGATTTTTTTTTTTTCTTCTTCTGCTGTAAAATCTTGTCCACGGCTTTTTTTTACAAACCAGCAAATCTCCTTCCCTGCACTATGATTTAGGCTGAAGAATTCTTCCTGTGTGCAGCCTGTGTACTCTGCTTACTAAAGTTATTTCTGAAAGCCCAGCAAAACACACAGTGTGTGTATATATATCCTTGGGAGACATGAAAGCTAATTACACCAGTTGCAACTGATGTTAAACAGCACTGTGAGTCGAGTCAACAGCACGGGAATGATAAAGATGGGCCACCTCATAATCCTAAACAAAAAGGCTAGCTCTGCTTGCTGGAAGAGAGACACAAGCTTAAACTCTGCTAAATGGCAGATGGAAACGTTGGTCTGTAATACAACAAGCAGTCAGTCCCATTGAAGCATCCTGGAGTTAGTGTTCATACTGAGGCATATCGGTTTGCTGCTCCGTGGCAGAGTCCCGGCACAGGTCTTCTGGGTCTGTGTGCAGAGACCCTGTATGAGCCAAAGCAAATGTCTCTGGGCAGTCTGTGTAGCAGACACTGACCCGCTGTCCAACCTGCTGTAATGACATGCTGGTCCCATCAGG